TTGAAATCCAAATCGAAATGTCTCCTATACGGCGCCGTCAGCTTTTATTTTGGAGCGGTTACTGTGCCCTCGGCTGGCAGACCATATTTGACACCCGTTGCGTCAGAACTTTCAGCCTTCGCTGAGCCGACCGTCCGATTCGTCCGGCCCACGTACACGATTCGAGTTTTGTTCCTCCGCTGTTGTTTCCTGCACTGTTTCCTGTGTTTTTTTCTTCTGTGATTTTTTGCTTTCAATTTTCTCAATGTTTTGTCCGGTTTTCAATGGTTTTGTTGTGGCTTCTTCTGTTGCCGTTTTGTTTTGTTTTACCTTTCTGGTTCTTTCATGTTCTTTCTGTTTATTTTTCGTTCTGGTTTTATCTTTCTCTTTCTTTCTTTTTTCCTTTTTCGTCCACTAATAATTTAAGGAAATGTTTTATTATTGTTTTTGCATTAATACTTTGGCATGATAAATAATTTGTGTTTCTTCTGTTTATTTTTTCTTTTCTTCTATTTTGTGTATTATATAAAAGTTCACCATGTATTACAAAAATGTTCATCATATATTTAACAAAAGGTTCACGGCAAATTGAGAAAAATATTCATTGTGTATTTAAAACATGTTCAACGTATATTATAAAATGTTCAGTGTGTATTTTCAAATTATTTAGTGTATATCACAAAAAATATTGAATGTGTATTTTCAAATTGGTCTGCGTATACCACAAAGAGGTTCAATATGTTTTTTCGAATTGTTCAGCGTACATCAGAAAAAGGTTCAATGTGTACTTAAGAAATCTTCATTGTATATTACGAAAATGTTCAATGTATACTAAAAATATTCAATGGTTGAAGTTTTTCTCTTTTTTGGGACTGCCACTACATTTAGTTCATAAAGTATGCATGCAGTATACTAATCGTTATAACTCAATAGCTCAAGTGGTAAGGATCCCTAGCAATCTGGCCTAGGATTGTGAGTTTGAATCCTTTGACACAACGTAGTTTTTCGGGATTTTTAGTACTGCCTCGCTGCGACACCAGGAAATGGGCCGGTCCATTCAGATTGCGCCCTGCGTGGAAGCTCATATTTTTGACGCCCACGAGCGTCAGCTAGGGGCTCCCCCCTCAGCGCTACATCGTTAATCCCAAAGGGCGCACATCCCCTCCCACGCGCATCGCAGGAGATGGGCCTGCCTATTTCTAGAGCACAATGTGAATTCTGCTTCGTTTTGAGAAGCTTGTGGAAGCTCCCAGACTATTTTTTTTCTCATTTGTCATAATTTGCGGTGGTATTTTCTGGTTCCTTTTTTTTCGTTCTATCCTTTATTTTTTTCCTCCTTTAACTTTTTATTTTATTTTTCTTCATTTATTTTTTCGATTTTGGAAATTACACGGACTTTTTCAAATTCTGTGAACTTTTTCTTTCAAATCGACTCCTTTTTTCAGTTTTGATGATTAGACTTCCAAATTCGACGAATGTTTTTTAGGTTTGATGAAAAAAATCCTATTCAATTTTTTTAAAATTTCATGAAATTCTTTTGAAATCTGATGAAGTTTATTAGAGTTTTGTGAAATTTCTTAACAATTCGATGAACTTGTTTCTAATTCAGTGTTTTTTTTGTCAAATCTATTAACTTTTTGTAGTTTGTATTTTATTGAAATTCCATGAACATTTTTTAATTCATTATTTTTATGCTATTGTTTCTGATTTTTCTCTCATTGCAAAATTCAATGGTTGACCAGTTACCTGGTCGACTGAACCGCTTAACATAATCGAGCAAACGTGGGAAACTAGTTGAGTGCTCGTCTTCTTCTTGGGCTGGCCCATGATACGGGGGTGCATGGATGAGCTCAACGGGTGCTTAAGGCGCCCTATAGGAGCTTTTGTCTCGGTTATATTGAGACCTAGGGAAGCCTCGCGTCAAGGGCAGCGCGAGATAGGCCGGCTCAGGTGCGCTGGATGCCACAACTTCATTTTTTTTATTTATTTTGCTTTCTTTTTTTTTATTTTGTTTGTACTTCCAAATATTATATATAAAATATATTACAAAAAACACTTTGCATAAAACATTTGGAAAAATGTTAACCAAGCGTTTGAAAAATTGTTATATGTGTATTGAAAAAATGTATCTTGTGTATGCCAAAAGTGGATACGAAACAATATACAATGTGTGTGAAAAAAATATCATGTATTTAAAAACATGTGAAACAAATGTTAACCAAGTGTTTGAAAAATGTTAAATGTGTATAGAAAAAAATCTTGTGTATACCAAAAATGTATACGAAAAAATATATAATGTGTGTGAAAAAAGTTGATCATGTATTTGCAAAATGTTAAATAAGAATTTGAAATAATGTTAAACAAGCATTTGAGCATATGTAGAGAATTTTTTTTGAACATGTATTAAAAAAAATCTTAATCTTGCATTTGATAAAATATTAATCGGGAATTTGAAAAAATGTCAAAAATATGTATAGAAAAAATATTGACCATATATTATAGAAATGTTAATTTTGTATTTGAAAAATATAAATCAAGCATTTGTAAATGTGTATAGAAAGATGTGAATATGTATTTAAAATATGTTAATCTGTATTTGGACATGATCAAGCATATGAAAAAAGTTAAAATGTGTATAGAAAAAACTGTTGACCAGTTATCAAAATAAAGTTACTCTTGTATTTGAAAAATGTTGATCAAGTATTTGAAAACCAAGATGAAACAAAGAAAAAACATTTTAGAAACAAATAAAAACATTTTTGGCATTTTCTTCCTTTTTTTGGATAGAAAGAAGGGTACACTGGGAGGGCAAGAGGTAGTTAAAAACGGAGAAATTAGTGAGGAAACAAAGAAGAACAGTAAAAAACAAAACAAAAAAAACGTACGAACAGCGAACGAAGTGCAGCGAGCAAACTCGATTGAGAAACCTAATGCGGATAAAAAGACAAAAATGGGCTGGCCCAACTGCTGCATCACAGGGGGAAATGCTTCAGCGAGACAGAAGAAACTGTTGCGTGAAGCGAGATATAGTCGCCGTGGCGAAGTTATGTCTCCATCTGGGGTATTTTTGGACAAAACTGGCCTCTTTCAGCGACTTCAAGCACGTCTGGCCCCTGGCCGAAACTAATTCCAAATCTGGCCCCTAGGGTCGGCGCCAAAGAACAAGGCGCCGAATATGCACATCTCGGCTCCAACATCTATGGCCCCGAACTAGTGGGCCCAAGAACATCACCGTAACACCGAGTGGACGGGAAACCGGCGACGTGGCGTATTCGGCGCCGAACTACGGATAGGTTTCCATCGATTCACCGTGGGGAAATTCCCCATATCCTTTTCATCGAACCTAGTCGAGCCGCCGCAGCCAGCCGAGGTAGCCGCCGTCGGCCCCGGCCAGGCGCCATACTTGTTGCTTTTGTTTCGAGACCTTTTATGTCTATGAACTAAGTATGGGTGACATTATGGTCATTTCTCTTATGTTTGGACTCTTTGTGATGATGTTTGTTAAACATTTTAGTGTTGCGCCGTATTGTGATGGCTTTTGTTGTTGAGCTATGATGTGTTGTGCTGAGATTTGAGATGTTATATATCTGCTGTTGTTATGTTTCAGGGTTGTCTACAAAATGAGTGGAGGTGATGGCCAAATTTTCTATCAGCTGGGTGCTTTGGCGCTAATGAGATTGGCGCCGAGATTGACCAGGTCGGCGCCAGGGAACGTAGTGCCGAAATGAATAATGACGGCGCCGGGTTACGCGGCGCCTAGACCGAACACTTCGGCGCCAGTCGTCGTCCGAATCCAGGAGGCATCCAGAACGATGCAAACAAGAGCGTTGGTTTCTTCTAAGGATGACGGCACTGCTCGCTGTGGCGCCGAAGCTCGGCGCCAAGTACCATGGCGCCGCATGTTGGCGCTCAACACCTTGGCGTCGAATATGCCACGTCTCCAGTTTTGCCATCCGTTCGGCTTGACGGGCAGCTGTTGGGCCCACTAGTTCGGCGCCATATAGAATAGAGCCGAGATGTGCATATACGGCGCCCTGCACTTTGGTGCCGGCCAGATTTGCTATTAGTTTCGGCCAGGGGCCAGACGTGCTTGAAATTGCTGTAAGGGGCCAGATTTGTCAAAAAATACCCATCTGGGCGAGAAATAGCTATGGCGCTCAATGTAGGCAGTAGTGTGGCATCGCCCTTGCCACTGCTGAAACATTTTCCCCAAATGCAGCCTGAAACATTTTCAGACAATAATTCAGAGATGAGCCTGAAACATTTTCCCCAGTAATTCAGAGATGAGCCTAGGCTCACATCTATTCTAGCTGAATAGTAAATAAAAAAACGACACTGACTTTTCTTAGAAAAAGCTGAAATATTTAGGCATCCAACACTTGTTGCGTTAGGAGCGTGCAGATGTTTGTGGTCAAATGACATCCGAGGAGCTCATGTCAACAAGAAAAAGGGTCTGTACAGTGCTCTTTTTCAAAGTTTCCCCGGCAGTCAGTTCTCTTTAAAAAGGTAAAAAAGTAATGTCTATAAATATTGATTAGAATCTCACTCAAATCCTATACATGTAAATTTTCATAAAATAATATAGTTTAAGTTTAAAAACTGTGCTACAAAGCTATCCCATTTCTCATTTTCAGCTAGGTCGCACATGGCCATACCATTTTGTGAACATTTATATGGATAAGTTTCTATGGAATACGTAGCTATCTAGTACATCAGCATTGATTTTAGTAGCGGCGATCATTTCATTGAAGAAAGACACACCATTTACAACTATCTGATCCCAACAGGAAGAACTTTATATTCGAGAGAAGGCAACATCCTCTTTGGATCATTATACATCATTGATCAGGCCAAAACAGAATGCACGTAGTAATCTCGCAAGAAACAATCATCAACAGAAAAGAATAAACATATCAGGAGATTCGACGCGACGCCCCTCAAACATCCAAGGGAACAAAATGGGAGGAGTACGTGCGCGCATCGTATCATCGATCATATGGTTGTATCACTTGATTTTCTCATCAGTACTGTTCCATGTCGCACTCGGGCGGCACGGGGCCCTTGCCGCCGTCCCTGGCTTTGGCGCAGTAGTCGTAGATGGTGTAGCCGAGCTGCACGGCCCTGAGCTTGCGCATCTGCTCCTTGGTGAGCTGGGACGGTTCCGGCGGGGTGTCCTTGTTGCATCTGGCGGCGCATTCGGCGTCGGCGCCTGAGCACTCGCAGACGTCGAGGCCCATGTTGTTGTACTCGGCGACGAAGGGCGCCTTGGTCCAGTCCGTCTTGACGCGGCCGCCCTGCGTGGCCCAGTCGTCCGCCGACCAGATGCTGGAGAAGCCGTACATCGGCCGCTTCGTCGGGAACGGCACGCCCTTGCTCGCGTAGTTGCGGAACACGCGGATAGGGATACTGTCCACAAACCACCTGCCGATCCATGGAAGTCAGCCTCCGTTGATTCTGCATATAATCAGGCAGCAGAGGTACAAGGATGCATGCATGGGCTGCTTACACGATCATGGAGGGGTTCCATAAGATGGTGTAGTTGTGGAAGTCGTCGGTGGGGTCGAACCAGGGGTAGAACTGCACCTCCTTGGCGCCCACGCCGTCGGCGAACACGTTGGTGTGGATGGTGTAGGGCTGGCCCGTCTCGTTGCCCAGGAACTCGAAGTCGATCTCGTCGTGGTCGTCGCCCACCGACGACGTCTGTCCATCGTCATTAGTTTCACATGATCAGTTATCCGTCAAATGTAGTCCGTCAGATAGTCTCAGATGAGTCGTTAAGCTGACGTACGTAGTAGGTGGTGACGGTGCCAGCCGAGTTGCCCTTGACCAGCTTGATCAAGGTGGAGATGCTGCCGTAGATGAACGTCTTCTTGGTCCGGAGCATACTGCCTGATGAAACCCACAATCCAAAACAGCAATGATCATCGGGATCGCCATGCACGTACGGAATGGAATTCAGCAAGCAAAGGAGCATTTTTTTTTTCGAGAGTACGTCAAAAGCGTACGGAACGTAATTCAGCAAGCAAAAGAGCATTTTGACATGTAAAAAGTTGCTGAGAGAGATACGATGTGTGTTACCTGAAATGTTGCTGACGAGGGAGAGCGTGAGGTGCTCCCCTCCGTCCGTCATCGCGGCGTTCTGCGGCTCCCACGTGATGTCGCACAGGTCGGCGAAGTTGGCGCCGACGAGCCCGAGCCTCAGCACCGCCGCGAAGGCAACGACGGCGAGGAGAGCCCGCATCGACATCCCCATCTCCTCCTTGCCTGTGGACAGCCAACTGATGCGTGCGCGCGATCGACGACTTCGAGCTGGTAGAGAATTCAGAGGGCGCCGGTCTAGCTTTATACTATAAGATGATGAGAATTTTCATTTCCAGCTCGGACAGGGGAGGTTCTGGTGCGCATGTAGGCACGTAGAAATGAATAATGGTCTGTGTAGCCCCGACGGATTCTGCCAGCTTGCCCGACGTCTGAATGATTTGACTAATGGAATCTTCTGGTTGATGATCTAATAAGGAATGGTTCTTGGCAGAGGGTTTAGTAGTGCTCCGCATGACCAATGCCGTTGTCCTTCATCGACGGGCCTGCACGCGGCGACTGCTGCTATAGTGCTCGCCATCACCTCCGGCATGCGTATGTGTCACTAGGTCAATGGCCAACGGCGTTCGCCATTTGTCAAACGAGGACATTTTGGGCAAATGTTTGCTTCAGTGTTTCATTAAGTAGTATTGCTGCAGTTGAAATAATCTTGTGCTCATTTGATTGGAAAATAGTACTCCCTCCGACCCATATTACTTGTCGCAGACTTAGTGTAACTTTGTAACATGGATCGGAGGAAGTAGAAGAAGTTGCTGGTCTGATAGTGACGTGCGAGATTTTCTAGCGTCATATTACTGTCCAGCACTACTGCACTGGATACAAGTCGGCAAGTTGTTCTGAGTCCAAATGGTGAGAAAATCGACCAATTTGACTTTTAAATATGAAGTCTGAATTTTATCATATGGTCTTCGCTAACTGTCTGTATTTTCCTTCTACAAGTCATGATCTTCTGACCAGTTCTCTGCTAACAGTTTCTATTTTCTTTTGGCTCTCCGTGGGCCTTTCGCTTTTTGTTTGTTTTAGGCTTGTATAAGGCCTTCTGTGCGCAGAGAATAAATTAGTTTTTCTTTAAGTATCGGTGCTTAATTAGACCCTTCACTATAGAGATAACAGTGATGCTTAAGAAAAAAATATTTTATTTTAAAAGTAAATACACTGATGATGCTTGAACTTATTAAGGATGTTCGTTTTAGTGTCTGAACTAAAAAAAATACGCCAAACAAGTTCTAAAACTTGATACCCTGCTAGAAATAACATGAAAAATCGAACAAGCAACCTGACGATTGCGCGCTGCTCCCGCTAGCCACTTCAACAATCGATGACAGAAACGGCCCCAGAGCTTAATGTATTTTAACCTAAACTCTTCTGTCCATAAATGAGCTGCAGCCACTGCCCATTTTGCACATGTTATTTTTTTAAGTAAAAAGTACGTACATTAAACCCATTAACAGTCGCGCAAAGAGCGCATCCTCGTGCTATCCACCTGTCCCGATTTTACTGTGCCAAACGAAGAAAAAAAAACTCGATTTCGTGTGCGCCGGACTGGGCAGCGAGCCCTTTCCCCTTACGCTCAGCGCGACATCGCCCCTCTCCTCCAACTCCTAGGGCTAGGGTTACCGCAGCTGCCGCCGCCTTCCCCGCTCGTGCTCTCTCCATCTCCCGTCCGGAACTCCCACGCCGCTAGGTCCCCTCGCCCACGTTAGCCTCGCCGCAGAAGAGGGCTAGCGCGCCCGCGCCGCCGGTCAAGTTGCGTATGGAGGCGAGGAGGAGGAGGAGCAGCACCCGAAGGAGGTCGTCCTCAGAGCACGCATCCCCGTCGTCAACCTTGCGCACACTGAAGGTTGCCGCTGCTGACCGGAGTCGGCCAGGTCGACTGCGTGCCTGCCGGCCTGAAGCTCATCCTGGAGTCCCTATCGGTGGCTGGTGGAGAAGCACCCAACGGTGGTAGTGAGTACGCCGGGGTGCCGAAGTGGATGGAGAAGCATCCCATCCGCGAGGGTTTGGGCTTCGGCCTCACTGGTCCCGTGAGCCAAGAAAATGACGGTGAGAGGTTTGATTGGTTGGTGAGGCAAAGGAATGCCGCTGCTTTTCGATCCCCAATTATCAGTGTTCCGTCTGGAGTTCACTGCTCACGATTCGGGGGGCTTCGCGGCGATTTATCCACCAGGTGCTTGGCGTGGGCTCAACTCCTACCTCAGTCTGGTTGTTGGATGAGGTGGGTTTGGGGTCACATATTGGATTTGTCTGCTGGCTTGTTGATGGTCACAAAGATCGACTGAACAGATATTTCTCTGTCGAACAGATCGCTGAAGTCCATTCCTGTTGTTTTTCAAGCAATAATAAGCAGCTTGTTGCTTGATCGAACTGCTATTTGCTTGTTGAACCAAACTTCCTGTTTTATCACTGCTTGGTTGAGGTGTGTAGCATTCAGTAATCAGTTGCATGGATGCATAATTAATCAAGCTGTTAAAAAGGTCTGCCTTTTGATTGGTGCCACATTTAAATTCTGTGTTCTTGGTCAGATCGCAAATCAAGTTAGATGACAGAGATGTAGAGAGCCTCCGTCACTACGAGCCCAATCGAGTCCTTGTATTTGATCCCCCTGCGTTTAAGTTTTTGTTTGGTTCACATCTCCTATTCATCTTTTTGGTTTCTTCTTCTTCTTCTTCGACTATAGCTCCTTTGGATTTTTCTTGGGCTGTTTCGGTTGCTTGTTGGCTGTTTCTTTCTTTGATTTTATCTTTGCGATGTCCTTTTCCCCTCTGTCTCATTTCCTTTTCCTTTCTTTGTCTTTGCCTGATTAACATTGTATTATTCATGTGCTGACCAATTTGTTTCACAGGAGTATCGGGTGCGCCGACGACGAGGACCAGATCGTGTTTCGCCTCCGGTTCCAGCTCATGGTCGCGCTGGACATTCCCCACGACGCCGTCTGCGGCGATCCAAAGCTCGCTGAGGACGGGGATGAGGTGGGGGTGCAGATGCAGGGTGATGCTGCTACAGGGCCCCTGAAGAAGTAGGGGAAGCTGGACGAGGACGACGTGGCGTTCCATGGTCGCGGTGGCTGGAGGGGCGGCGCTGCGTCGCAGTGGATGAGATGGCTGGAACTCCTCCTTCCCATCTGCACCATCTGTTCAACGCATTGACATCGCGACCCCGAGCGAGATATCCGTGCTCTCCGGCGATGTGGGATGCCGTCCTCCAGCGCGCCTGCGACAGAAGAGCCTTCGCCCTACAGTTTACAGATTTTTCTCATGGCCGATGCGCTCAGAGGTATTGCTTATGTGTCCATGTTGTTACTTGCTATCGCCGTATATGTATTTTTTTACACGTTCTTGCGCTACTTTGCAAAGAAAAAACTTACATTTTGGGTCATTGGGGATGGATTGACATGTTCAGGATTCAGACACCAGCTCCAAAAAAGTGGTTACAGTTTTTCACGTCTCTCTGTTCCTACAAATTGCAAGATAAATCAGCTAGGTGTTTTCTTTCATTTGCGTATGGTTTCATTTTTATTGATAAACCATCATGATCTGGTTTTGACTTACCACAGTGCCATTCTTACGTTGAAGAGTAAAACAGAGATCCTGCATTGGTGGTGGTAGTGAAATGTAAATATGATTGTCTAGGCTAATCACAACTTTCAGCCGAATTACTTGGCTAAAGACATACACAAAAAGTAAACATTTAGTGATGAACGAACATGCTGCTCTTCTAAACTGCAAGCAAAGTTTTCTCTGCCAACTAGGCTCGCCTTTGCTTGTTGTATTTCTGAACAAATCTTGCAGAAAACTCAGGACCCTGAGATTTTGCGACTATAGTGTGAAGTTCAGTAAATGAATCAATAATAAACTCAGCTAACATGTATGAACCATCCCAGATGTTAGAGTTTTGCTAAAATATAGGGTACCCTTAAATATATGTGATGTTTATGACTGGCTGCATGATGATAATGTTAGTAAATTTGTCATCAATAGTACTTTCACCATTTTGTACTTTACCACGTCTACTAAATGAAGAGATTTCGTGTGTATTAAATAAAGAGAGTTTGTTACTTGTAGAGGCTATCCAAGGCAAAATTAACAGTTGATTACTTAGATGTAGCTGTATTGTTGATATGGTGTTAGTATATCAACTCTTAAAGAGGCATAAGTTCACGATTCAGCAGACAACTTACAGTAGTGTTGACTTACAGAATACTAAGTTTATGGAATGTGTCTAATGGAAGCAATTTCTTGGTGTCATCTGTGTATGGTTTCATTTTTATTGATAAACCATCATGGTCTTGTTTTGACTTACATATTCAATACAATTTTGTGGTATACCGAAAAAATAACATATAAGCACAAGGTTTTCTATTTAATACAAAAAATAACATATTCTATCTGGAAAAATACCATATCAACACATTCAGTACAAATTTTGTGGTATACTCAGTTTTTAAATACATAACCATCAGCATACCTTTTCAGCTTTTCTCCTTACTGTTTTTGACATGGTTTATCTAGCGATCTGTGCGCACAGTTTGATCCAGTTCGATGGATATAGCTTCAGCTCTTTTTGTTCCTGCGCCACTCTTTATTAATCATTGCTCACACATTTTTACTATTTCAGGCCACACAATGACAATAGTACGTTTCATAGAGCTGAGTGATGATAATATTATTGCCTGGAGCAGCATGAGGAGACTGTTCAAGAGGATCAGATTGCAACTCAACACCGGGCAACGTTGCTTGATAGGCAGGGTATGTTTTTTCTAGCTGGTGAAGGAAGCCAAAGGGTGTAGGCAGTGTTTGCTGCAGCTGGTGCATTTACAGTGAGGCTGCATACTAAATTCCATACAAAAGTTTCAAACTAACGGTATCTGCTAAGGTTTCCACTTGTGATGAATGCATTAGTCTGCGCTCTTTATGGTACCTGTTTATATCTTCTGTAATTTCACCGTGATGTATGAAGACTACGACCCAAGTAAGAAAACTAGAAAATTGTTGATAACAGCCATTTACAGTCAGGATTCAAACTAATGTTTTTATTAGGCTTTCCGACTTTGATAAATGCATTAGTCTGCTCTCTTAGAAGTAAATCTAATCATGGAATCACTCAGGAATGATGATAGTTGGTTTATTGTTCTTTTTCTGATTCAAGGTTTCGTGA